TTTATATTGAATGATTCTGTATTTGCAGGAACCTCCGCTATATCTGTGTCAGGAAAAAAGGGAGGAAACATCACACTATCATGTGAATCTGAGTCCAGAGAGATTTCTGATATTAGTTTAATCAGTCGGTCAAAAAACATCCCTGTCTGTCAGACTGAAGAATGCAGTGGACGAGTATTTAAACAAGGAAACTGTGACGTCTTCATCAAGAATCTGAGCTTCAGTGATGCTGGGAAATACTTTATGAGAGTCTATTACCACAATAATCAGACAGAGCTGGAGCGACTGATCAGGACGTACCAACTTCATATTCAGGGTAAATAAATAAAAAAACGTGTTTTCTAGTTTTCCTTTAGTAACAGTGTGGTATTGCATTTAACCAGCAGAGACTCTGAATGGAACAGGCTTAATATTCAGATTATTGTGCTTATGGCCTTGATTGTTTGAAAGCATTATAATAATGATTAATGTCTTCTCCTCAGATGAGATTTCTGTGAAAACAGGTGAGGAGCTGAAGTTGGATGTTCTGTTGTCAAACGCTGATAAAGTGCAGCATCAGAGCAGAAGAAGCACAGAGTGGATGAAGGATTGGAGCAGAACTGATGGAGATCAGAGTGAACGGATCACCATTAGTGATGGAAACCTGATCATTAGTAATTTCACAGCCAGAGACACAGGAACATACAGAGTTCTGGACCCTGATGGAGAAATCTTGATCACAGTGACAGTCAGAGGTGAGAAGATCAATAGATATGTAGAAAATACTGGACAGCTGAGGTTTATTCATCATGATTTTTACAGCAAATTGATGCTAAACTGTGTGACTAACCTCTCAATATCCTCTACAGAATCAAAGTATCCTAGTACAGAATCAAAGAAAAAACTGGACAGCACAGATAAAGACAAAACTGATGAGACGATGCAAGTTCGTAAGTAAAACTGGATGCATTGAGAGCGTTATAACATTTTTAAGCAGTTAAGAGTTCTAAAAAACATTTTAAAAAATTGTGCTCTCTTCCCATCTTCCTCTTTTCCAGCTGTAATCTACTGGATTATGAGTGCTGGACTGCTTGTGTATGCTGCTCTGCTGGTTTCTACTCTGGTTACGCTTACCATCCAGAAACACACCGATTTCTAAAAGCAGGACATGTTTGGCACCAAGGGGTCAAAGTGCAATGAATTAGAAAGATGATGTCACGTAGCAACATCACTGTAAGTTTGCCTTCAATGCTAAAAGATGATTCTGTCAATATATGTAATGAACTATACATATGAACATTTGGGCTGCTCTACATGAGAATGTTGACTGTATCTGCATGTAATTCATTCTTGGGGGGTTCTTTTATTTTGCATTAATGCACTCAGTCAGTCACGCTGTAAAGGGGGCACTCTTTGCTGACTTTCAATTTAAAGAAAAGTTTTGTTTATGTAGAGGACCAATGTCCATGTACAAGTTGCTAAGTTGCAGAAGTGACAAATGCATTAATTACGCGAGTGAATCTTTTAAATTGTTGCGTGAGTCACTCCTGAAATTGCTGTAGTGGACCAGGAGTGTTTCTAGCTTTTTAAAACATCAAGGGCTAATGGTGAGGACATATGCCTATATGTATAGGGCACAACAGCACTAAAGACACATCTTAAGACAAATTTGCTTTTCTCTACCAACATAGTGTATGACTGCAGAAAAAAAGTATGTTTTCATAGAACATTCATATGTTTTATAAAAAGTTAATTTCAATGCATCACTATTACCAGGAAATGCTGAGCTATGTGGCTTAATTCAGTATGCAAACTATTTCATGCACTGCTATAGTATTGTGGAAATATGGTTTCTTTATTTATTGTTTTGTTATGGCACTACCTTGATGAGCAGGAATAGCTTAATGTAGCACTATTTCAAAAAGTATTTATAAAAATTATTTCTATTGTTCATTTTTATCGGTTGTTTTATATGAAGCCCAGGGTTTTGAAATTAGGTTTTTGTAATACAATACTGTATGATGCTGACAAATAATACTGAGAAGTGTTGTTTAACATGTTTAAATATGATATATTTACAATGACATCACGAAGTGTCTTCATCATTATAATCTACTATTAGAGAGTCTCTCCTTTCCAGTGTTGCTTTTTAGTGCTTAATCAGGGATTTGCATTATTCTTTGAAAATCTTCTTTGAAAGAGCATGTACTGTGAAAAACTAAACAAACTGAACCACTTTTGTAAGAAACATTTCATTGTTGATATTTTAATGTTGGTGCACTTTTGTATATGTAAGATTTGCATGCCCACATAAGAAATGTACATGTCTAGCTGTATCTTTACACATCATATATTTACATAAGAATTATTATGTATATAAGCTGAGTTTAAGAGAAATATATAAATGCCATCCGTTTATGGCACATAAAGGTTGATTAAATAAAATGTTTTGAATGTTAAATGTGAAATAAAATGCAGTAAAACTAAGACATCACTCATGTTGTGCATTTTTGGTAGAAATTCTGATCATTACCAATGCTAAACCTTGAACCATAACTGCAATTACGTCAAATCTACTATCTTACTTTCACTGTGTGTATACTGCTCATACAGATATTATGGGCAATGAAAGGGCAGATAATATAGCTATAAAAAACAGTAGAACGTGCTTGTTGTGTGCAGGAGAAATTAAAAGGGCAGAAATTACATGATGAGAAATTAAAGTAATGGAACAAATAGGAATAACAGGATGTGGAGTGAAGAACATACTGTAATGTGGTATTTTGTGAGTTAATAACTCCAGAAGATGGCAGTAATGCAATATTGGAGATGCAAGCTATCGCCTTGGACAAAATGACTTTATAGTACAACTACTCCTCTAACAAAACACCAATTTTCAGCACTTCTTACCGTAGCATTCTTTTTTTATGAACCGTTGAACTTGGCACATTACACAATGCACAATAAGGCGCCTTATGCATTTTCTGCCTATTTCGCGACGATGTTTCACGATGTTCATGCAACAGAGGAACCAAAATATCAAATGTGTGTGATATCCTCAGACCGGATGACGTAAAAAAATTAAAAATAAATTAAAAATAAAAGTATGGGATGAATTTCATCTCAAAATTATTAACAAATGCATTCTCATTTATCCGTACTTCATAAATATTGTAAATGCATCTTTCTATCCACAAACAAATGGCTTTCAACCAGAGTCTGTGAATTTAAGAATCAAAGCGATTTGTGCACATATAGACAGGTTTTTGAATAAAAAGGTTCTGTTTTGTATTAATGCATCTTAATTTGCGCATACAAAAAGGAAGTTGTGCATTTGTGGATCAGGTGACATGCGTGCATTCATTAACTTGTTTAAGTCTATCCTGTTCGTTCATTTGGATTTTGAGACTTCATTTTCGCAGTTTTCAGCATTTCAGGACTCACACACAACAACTTTCAGTGAAAAAGCCCCACTGTTATTAATTAATGTGTGCACATTTACCCATCAATTAGAAAAAATCACAAATATATCTTCACATCCACAAACGCCTTTCAACTTGTGTATGTGAAATTCAGAATTGCGTGAATGTGCGCGTTTTGTTCAAACAGAGATATGTTTGTGAATGCAAATGTTATATTTTGCATTAAAGTATCATAATTTGTGCATGTAGCGATTAACAGACCAGTGGCCTGTAGCACGAAGCAAGATGAACAAACTCAGAGTTGCAGAGTAAGTTTTGAGTTGACAAAACCCCATAAAGCCAACCTGGTTTAGATCAAAAAAGATGTCGATCCAGGAACATGTCTGTCTTGGCAAAATCACGGTGACCCTCACGCTGCCCATGTAAATCTCATGCCAAATTGGCAACCCTGCTTGCGATATGAAACAGTCTCTGCTTTCAAATTCTGAAAGTTTTAACACTAAATTCAAACAATAAATGCCGTTTTGGCGCACTTAATGTGGCGTAAATCGTAAAATGTAGGTTCACGGAGCTCTCCAAACAAACCAGCGCTGTCAATACATTTGAATGGGTTTGAGTAGGATAGACGACAGCTTCATTATACAGGCATTTGCAGCAATTTTTGGTTAAACATTACAGCATATTATGCATTGATTATTATGTCGATGACATTTACAGTATCATTTTATTCTGGAGAGTCATGGAGAGGCAACATTAATAAGGTTTTCTTGTATTTAACCCTCAGGTATTGCTTACTTATAATGTGACCATACAGCGTAACTCTTTTTCAGTTAAATAAATGTTCTATATTTTAGTTCAATAATATTTATTTAATATTTTAAGGAGATCTTTTGGTACTAAATACTATTTGTGCAATAATTATGGTCCAATAATGACTTAAAATATTTTTTTCTAGTATTTCTATTACTTATATTACAATTAGTGTAGTATTTAAGGTTAAAATAGAGAAAGGGTTTTAAATTACAATGCAAAGAGGAAAATTAGAGTCATTTTGTGGTCAGAAAAAAAATCATTTTCATTTGTAATGCCATGGTTAACCCACTATAACCATGGCTCTTTACTAAATTGTATCTAGAATATTGCAGGTAATAAATGCGTACTTATTTTTAAGTTTTTCATTTGAAGAAATATTTAGACATGATTAAACACTAGATTTGTGACTGGGACTTGTGTGCATTCGACAAATATTGCATGCAACCCACTTAAGCACAAAGCACAAAATAAGCACAAAACCTACCGCGCGAGCGTCAACGGATGCAGAAAGTCTGACTTCCTCGTTCCCTCCCGACTGCAAGCGGCAAATGTCTGTGATTTTTCAAAATAAATCTTCTTCTTCTTCTTGTACGATTTTATGGCGGTTGACAATTTCAAAATAAATGTCTGTTAATTATTAATTTTATATGCAAACGATTAAGTAAAAAAATCACAAAATTATGTCAGACACTGAACATAAAAACTATAACATTCGTTAGAGAGCTCAATCTGCTTTGAATTAATATATAGAGGACAGTAATAATCAGTCTCTCCCCTATCTTACATGAGGCACGTGTCGGTCTCAGTTTCAGTTTTAAAGAATTGATTCCAGAACATGCAGGAGCTTCACAATGTAAGTGTTCATGCTTTTAAATATAAATCTTGAGTGTTTCATGTGTAATTATACCAATATATAATTATTAGACTGTTCTACAATGGTTAGCTACTGGAGTGAATTGGTTCGGGGGGAAAAATTACTAAAAATAATTATTAAAATAATTTATTTATTTTGTAATTATTATTATTATTATTATTTTTTCATTTAAGGTCCGGGCTATATAACATTAAATTGTTAGTTTGTAGTGGGCCGTATTGCGATCAGTTAAATAACAACTTTTCCCCATTTTATAGCTGTATAAACCTCTTTGTGATGCGTGTCTGTATCTGTCACATAACAGCTGTCTGTATTCTCTTCAGGTTCAGATGCTTCAATCTACTGCTGCTGTTTTGCCTTGTCAGTTATAGCGGTCCGTATCTTAATTATTGTTATTATTATGAATAAATTGTTACTGTTTTGATTGTTGGGTAGAGTTATTCTAGTCGATTGTTTGACTTTGGTTGACATTGGATTTATTATGGAAATCCCCTTCCTTTTAAGCAATCACTAGTCCGGAGGAAATGGGTAGGTCTATGTAGTGCATTATGGGTAGTGTAGTTCGGAAGAAGTGTGTATATTGTAACCCTGACAACTTTTATCTGCCTGAACGAGTAAAATGGCATGCATCGGGAAACTTTGTACTTATCATCATTGCCCGGCAGTGTTGGGGAAAGTTACTTTTAAAAGTAATGCATTACAATACAGCATTACTCCGTATAAAGTAAAATAAATAGTTTACTTTATATGGAAAGCGATGCATTACTTTTGTGTTACTTTTTGACAACCATAGGCTGGGCTTGCTTATTTGTTTTTATAATAAAAAAAAAAAAGAAAGAAAAAAGTTCTATTAAAGGCTCTTTCACAACAAAAGTGAAATTAATAATCCTCAGAAGGAAAAAACTCTGTCTGCACTTCACTCTCTTATTCTTATCAACATGGGGACAATAGAGCTGTCACTCAATAAACTGGAAAATAAAGTGTTACATTACATTACCAATTGTGTGTAAATTTGATTATGTGGTTGAATAAAGTGAGAAAATAATAGAAAAAAAGATCTGCACACTGTTATTCTCCCTATATTCAAAAAAGTTAAAAATAGCAACGTTTACTAACTTTTTTGAATAAAGGGAGAATAACAGTGTGCAGATATTTTTTCTATTGTTTGATGTACCTTTTGATCTTGCACCTGGCCAAGACTTTTTTGGATGTGCGTACTTTGACCCTTTCTTCATGAATAAAGTGAGAAACCTACTTTTATCAGACATTTTTATTCAAAGCAACCACAAATTTTACAGGCATTATTGATGCTAAATGTTGGGGAAATTCCACCATCGGTTCACAATTATCAAAGAATCTTGGATGTATAGTAAAATCTATTGAGCGTAAACAATTTGACATCTTGACTAGAATAACTCTACTAGAATAGTTTGTGTTGACCTTAAGGAGAATAAACAGAAACACCAGTCTTGGATAATTTGTTGATTTATTATTTTTCTGTCTGTATTTGCAGGAACCCCCTCTATACCCGTGAAAGAAAAAAAGGGAGGCATCGCAACACTGTCATGTGAAGTTGACGGAAAAGACATTATTGATATTAATTTAATCAGAATGTCAAAAAACATCTCTGTCTGTCAGACTGAGAAATGTAGTGGCCGAATATTTAAAAACAGAGTGTGTGACGTCGTCATCAAGGATCTGAGATTCAGTGATGCTGGGAAATACATTTTGAGATTTGTTTACAAAAATTATCCAGGGAAGACATACCATCTTCAGATTCATGGTAAACATGAAAAAACAGCAACATGTGCTTTCTGGTTTTCCTTTATTAATTGTCTTGGTAGTGCATTCAGGCCTTTAACCAGCATACACACTAAATAGGACACATCTTGCCTAGTATTTAGAATAGTGGCATTTTCAATATGGCAGATTTTTTTTTTTTATTATTACATCTGGTCTCTCAATCCTAAATATGCGCTTATAGCATTGATTAAATGGCACCATTATAATAAGAATTAATGTCTTTGTGTCTCCTCAGATGAGGTTTCTGTGAAAATAGGCGAGGAACTGAAGTTGAATGTTCTGCTGCCAAATGCTGATAAAGTGGAGAAAAACTCCAGTGGAGAGTTGAGGGAGGTGTGGAAGAGAGGTCATGGGGTCTGGAGTGAACGACTGTCTGACACTGATGGGAACTTGACCATTAAAGAGTTTACAGCCAATGATGCAGGTGCATACAGAGTTCTGGACTCTGAAAGAGAAATCTTGATCACAGTGACAGTCACAGGTGAGAGAAGATCAGTGGATGCTAGGAATATTATTTATAAAGTGCACTGCTGAGGTTTACTCATCATGATTTGAAAAGCAAATTGATGCTAAACTGTGTGACTGACCTTTCAATAGGTGCATTATCAGGTACACAATCAAAGGACAAACTGGACACAGATGATGAACAACCTAATGGCACTGAACAACCTCGTAAGTAAAACAAGAGCATTGAGAGCTTTTCAAAATCTTTAAGCAGTAAGTTTTCAAAAGAAAAAACAATTTTTAAAAGATTGTGATGTCTTCCCACTTTCCCTTTCCAGCTGCTTGGGTTTGGATTGTGATTGTTCTGGTGGTTCTGGTGGTTTTGGGGGCTCTGGGTCTGATTGCATTTGCTGTCATCAGGACACACCAGCATCAGAACCGGAACGAGGGATGTAATTCCTACCAATGCGTCTCAGTGGAACAAACTGTACAGGGGCCCACATTACCTAACAACAGCAACGGTTATGTGCAATCTACCTTAAGTGCCAACAGATCTGCAGAAGATGCTGTCAGCGTATCATTCCTGACTGAATAAGCTGTTTAAATGTCTCCACCTATTGGTCACTTTAATTTCAATGTTTTTTTAAATAATCATTTCAAATGTATATATTCAAAAATTCAAACATTCCTCTCCTAGCATTATTTATGATTGTGTAAGTGCAGCATACTGTAAATGTAATTAGTTCACATGCCCTCAAATAGTTATACAAGTCACACAAGTTTGATTTATTTTTTGACAAGCAAACTTTTTCAAACTGTTTGCAACATCAATGTCCTTTGCCAGTCACATACATGTTTAACTGATGAACTGCACTCATGTGCTACAAATTAAGGCCACAAGCTTGTGCTACAAAGCTTTCAGTCTCTGTAGCACCAGTGATATGTGCAAAAAAAGTTAGCGTGCAGCTCTGGTGACCCTGTCTTAGTAATTCATCCCTCAAACGTTTACAAGTGGTTTACACAATGCTGCTGCTAAGCTTTTAACCAAGTCATCAAAGAGATCACACGTAACCCCAATTTTAATTTCTTTACATTGGCTCCCTGTCAAATTTAGAATTAATTTTAAAATGATTGCGATGGTGTTTAGAGCGTTGCATGGTCAAGCCCCTGTGTATATAAAAGAGATGTTGCAACCCTATAACTTTAGTAGGAATCTGAGATCCTGCTAGTTGTTCCACGCTCTAGACTGAAGACAAAAGGAGACTGTGCCTTTGAAGTAGCTGCTCCCAAGTTGTGGAATGCTCTTCCTCTGAAACTGAGATCTGTGGACTCTGAGGACATTTTTAAAAAGCAGCTGAAAACTCACTTGTTCAAACTTGCTTTTGTCTAAATTTTCTTTTTTTTTTAATTGTCATGTCTGTTTTTATTCTTCATTTTACAATGTTGTTGTAAAGCAATTTGTGACACTTGCTCTTGAAAGGTGCTATAGAAATCAATATTACTTACCCTTGATAGAAACATATCCTGTGAACACAGAGAACCACACTGTATTTATTTGCACTAGCCTTGACTTTATTCCAGTCAATATGTATGTTTTGTACAAATGTGTTTAAATATGTGTCAACAGCAGAAAGAGCACATCCAAAGCTGAGTCTGTGTTCCAGCCAAAACATGTTTTTTTTCCCATACCAAACATCTCTAGAGATTTCTTTCCTTGACACTGTTGCCTTTGACTGCTTACTATAGCATCACTAAGGTGTGTGAAGCTTATTACATTTTTAAAACAATATGTATTAAAAATGTTTTCATATATTTTATACCCATTTTTTATACATTAATTTTAAAACTATTTTTCATTATGTATTTTGATATTAATGTGAGCAGCCACATTGTGACTTGTTTGTGACTGCAGTGAAGGAATACTACAAATCAAGCTCTGTGGCATCTGTGAAATGTTGATTATTTTGGGATTGTTGTGGGAGTGAATATACAGCTGTGCAGTACAATAGCAATCACTTTGAAAGTACAGTATACAGTAAATTCACCATGAGATAACATTATTCCTAATTACAGTATCTGCTCCAAGAGATTCATCAACATGCTTACCATTGGGACAGTTTTAGGTTTACTATCTCTTACTTTGCTTTAAGATGTATTCCACTCATGTTTAACATTGATTTGTTCAGGGTATAAGGAGGAAAATTTAGATTTCCTATGCCATTCCGTTCTGTCTGCATATTTAAACATTGTCTTAATAAATGACTTTGTTTGCTTTGTAGACTGTTAAATATGCACAAGTCAATCATTGCAGTGCGTGTTTACTTCCAAGTCTACAATCCTCCACGCCTATTCAAACACAGCGTTCTGATGAGGGGGGTCAAAAACAGGACAGAAAATAGCTTATTACTTATAAATGATGATGTTTTTTGAAGTAAAAATCTTGTTAACATTATAAGTGCACCTCCGAGAACAGTACAAAATAAAAAACAGGCAGTTCATGACCCTTTTTAAAAGTTTTGTGACTCTTTCTTTGATCACTGAAAGTGTTGAAAGACAAAGCGACTGTGACTTTTTCAAAATTGCAGGGTAAGCTTCCTGTCTCACATTACCTAAAAAAATTACTTCCTCCTTCATAAAAAACAAAAAACAAAACTATGCACCATTCTGCAACCATAACACTTAAACATTACATGTTTTAACACGAGACTGATATGGTAGAACTGCTGTCTGTGTAAAATTATATACACTCTTATAAACATGACATTGTTTTAAATTAGACATTGTCAAATTTTGCAAAACAAAAAAAACTGTTTTTTTTTTTTTTTTTTGTAATATGGTCAAAATGATTATTCAGTATTTATCCATGGACTTACAAATCTACACAAACACTTTGCCAAGTGTCTATGCAAGCTAAGAGAGCACATTCAGTGAAATCATGAAGATTACAGCGCACAGAAGTTTGATGAATCAAATAGTGGATCTGATACAGAGACTATTTTTGTCTGGAAAGGAAATGGAACGTTTTGTGGTTTAGAGTCTCTGCATTGTGCTGGAACCCTTAGTTTGATTAACACCTTTATGAACAACAGACACAATGAAGAAAATAATTTTCTTCTGTGTATTTTCTTGTTGGATTATGCAAACCACGGCCAGTATTAAATATATTCTATTTCAAACATTAAGAAATTAACAAATCAACCTAAAACACAATAGCTATTAACAGTATAAAATGATGTTTTATATAAATAAACATTTCTCCAGATGCGTCAGTGGATCTTCCGAGGATCTTCTGATTTGTTAAGGGTTCAGATGGGAGAAAGCATCAGTCTGAACTGCAGCATGAGAAACCGATATGAAGTCGCCTGGTATCACCTCAGATCAGGAGAACTGCATCTACTGATTTCTGCAGAGAAAGATGAATCAGGAAGAAAACTCCTGATCAACTACAATCCAAACAGCCCTCGACTGAATCTTACAGCAGACACTTGGGTCACCAGAGCCACGCTGGTTATTTCTGGAGTAACAGATTCAGATTCTGGTCTTTATTTCTGTGGAACAAAGTCTGACCCTCCAGAGATGTTCTTCGACAAACCCATCAGACTAGAGATCCAGGGTAACAGATTTCAGCTTTATATCATATAGCTGCGCTGATCAAGAGCATGATGGGAAACGACTGACTGATGACACAGCTTATGCCGAGTTCACACTGCAAGATTTTCAAACTCGTCGGATCGCCGTTGTATTTCAGACATTTGTCGGCGATTTCGCAAAACCTGTCGGCGAGTGAAAACTCGGGGTAAAATCGTGCAGTGTGAACTCGACATAAGTGGGTCAAATGCAAATGACAAACACCTGTGTCTTGTTCCAGTGTGATTTTTCATATGCAATTGTATATATTGAGCGCTGGTAGCGCGACATTCTGTTTATTTATTGAAGCCGAATAAAATCACCAGCAGCAGTCAAGCCGACCCCGTCCTCTTTCTTCTCAAGTCATTGACTTTGTTACAATAAGCTAAAAAAAAAGAACAGCAAACATATGATTTATTGCACATTATGCACATTTTATATTCATCTGAAGCATTATTATATCCATATAAGCTGAGTTTAAAAGAAAATATAAATGCTATGTGTTTTATGGCACATAAAACTTGATTAAATAAAAATGTCTTCGATGTTAAATGTGTTTCTTGAGAGTTCTGATGAAATAAACTGCAGGTAAACTAAGAAATTGTGTGATCATTACTTCAAACTGCACTGTATATATGCAATGTTGTCAGATCTGTTCTCACAGTTTCAGAAGAACACAAAATGGTTTCATATCAGTGTTGCACAATGAACAGTTATGATTTCCTGACTTTCTTGTGCATTAAGATCACAACTGAAACCACAAAATATGAGGTGAAAATAAACTGCCTGTCACTGACACTAGAGAGTGTTACTCGTGCTAAGGAATCACTATATTTAGAAAAGTCTAATAGAAAAAGTAATAATAATAAAATTATCTATGTCTGTCTGTCTGTCTGTCTACACTGAACAAAATTAGAAACGCAACACTTTTGTTTTTGCCCCCATTTTTCATGAGCTGAACTCAAAGATCTAAGACTTTTTCTTTATCTATCTATTTATCTATCTTATAAGACTCACATATACAGACAAACTAAAAACAGTTTTTATTGTTTAGATGGTTTTTGTTTTGTGATAAACTGATCATATATTTACAGGTCTGTCTGTAACAGAAGATCCAAAAAAAGTTGACAACACAGGTAACATGTTTGTTTTTCTATCTTGTTTCATTAATTGTTCATGTACTACTTGCTCTTATGTAGAGATCCAGCACTAATTCTAGTTATCGGTTAACACTTTTTGGGGTCCCACTTTATATTAGCTGCCCTTAACTACTATGTACTTACATTTAAATTAATCATTTGAAACAATGCATTTATTGTGAACATACATGGTTTTTACATTGTATCATTCACTATCACAGTTGGTGGAAAGGACGGACCATTGCCAAACTTTCATCTGATTCATCACAAATCAGCTAAATAACTGGGGAAAAGTGGGACTAAGTACAGAAGGCTCATAGGCACTAGGGGGCCCATACCAATCTCTTCTTAGGGCCCTGCAAACACAATACTGTATTAAACAGTACAGGGGGCCAGAAGTTCAGGGCACCTAGTTAACAATGGTTAAGGCTGGAATTCAATATATCTAAACATATTTTTAAACACTAGGCAATACATAGGCTACTTGTCGACTTTGTAAACGGTTACAGATTGAAACTAGCTATCTTACACAATATGATTGAGGATCACAAAGTACCAGACTTGCACATCATTCCAAACACAACAAACAGACACAGAAGCATGTTGTGCAGTTAGGAGATGGATGATAAATAAAACACAACGTGTTCCAAAATCGGCTCAAAATATCAAACATGTTTGATATCCTCTGACTAGATTAAACCACAGTTAAAGATCTGGACTAGCAACTGAAATGTTACAATCTTAATTCCCAAGCTAGGAATTGTTTCTATTGAGTTAATCAACTATTGTTTCAAAAAAATGTTTAAATATGTTTGAATAACATTTAATATAAGCTTTAGATTCTCCTAGAGAAAAGATACAGAGACTAATTATCCCATGCTCAACTTCGCTCTGGAAAGGAAGCAGATGGACTTTGTGGTTTAGTGTCTCTGCATTTTGGTCTAGTTATACAATTTAAACTTCAACATATTTAAACTTGTGACCTGTTTCTCTGAACATTTTCACATTTGTGGGATACTTTTATTTTGTTAAACGTGCTGTGGTTTACACCAGAACTGAAGACTCATACGGTACTGTAAGGTCCACGCGATTGGCCCATCGTAGGTATCCAATGGTGGATGAAGGTTTCCTGCGTGTTCGGTCTTTTCAGTGCGCAAAATTATTAAATTTAGGTTAAATTCAAATCTGACTCCATTTCATTATGACCTCGAATTTAGGGTGAAATGCAAATTGGGTGTTTGTCCATTTCTAATTATTACTATTCTGACATTTGATTATTCTAGTTAACTCTTTACTTTATATTTACTCGTTCGTTAGGAATCTATGTCGCTCAGGGTGCCTCACGTCGGCCGTTTTACATGGACCCCACGATCACAAACTCGCCAGTCTGAACATTAGCCAGAGGTTATGACTAATACTATTTAATAGGTCGCCCATGCTTACCATTCTTTAAAAAGTAGTTCTGTTTAGCCCCCTACAGTTACCCATGTACAACTTAGTTAAAGCTCAATCAATAATCAGCGGTTATGCAAGTGCTCTTTGTCTAGCCCCCGATAGTTATATACGTACAAGTTAACTAAACCTGAAACATTAGTCAGCGGTTATGTTAGTACACTCTAAAAAAAAAGGTTCTTCAGCGGTTCTTTGGAGTGGTTAAGGTGCTATATAGCACCACTACCGTATAAAGAACCTGTTAAGCCCCTGTATGGTTCTTCAGCGGTTCTTTGGAGTTGATGAGGTGCTATATAGCACCACTACCGTAAAACCTGTAAGCCCCTGTATAGTTCTTTAAAGGTTATTTAACTCTCTCTTAGTCTCTTGGTTTAGTTGGGGAAAGGGTTAAAACAACATTAAAATACAGTCTATTTCTTGAAGATATAATTTTTTTTTGTCCCCAAGGCCCCCGTAAGGAAATATTCCAGGGCCCCCACATGAGACCTTTGACCTCAGAAAAAAAAGGACCTTTCCACAAACAGCAACACCAACTTCACACATTACTAACCAGTTAGACTTTATTTCTGGAGTATCTAAAACAGAAGTTCTTTATTGAGAATTAAGGTTTAGATGTTTTTTTTTTCTTTTCAACTTACCGTTTTGGTGAATAGTGTTTGCTTTAGTTGCCTCTTGACCCTTGACTTTAAGTTAAAATAAGTTTCTCTTTGGCTGTTGCAATAGTGTTTATAAAGCACATATGTGATGGCAAGGAACTTATGGTAAAATCTTTTCATATGTCTGAGTCTCTGGTTGCATATTATCAAAATCTGTAGTTCTTTTGTGAGTTTTGTATTATTGCAGCTCTACGATACAACGTGAAAATGTGAGAAAATTGTATAAAACACTTTTAGAATTATGGGTTATAAAGAGGTTTCAGTTCTGTCACTCATAGACATGAAGAATCAGCATGTGAATCTCAGCAATGGTGACAAAATATTCTGGTCACATTACTATGATTTTTGAACATCACAAAACAGGGCAATAAAAAGTCAGGACAAAAATAAAAGCAAATAGTAAGAATAAAAGAAAATACTAAGACAATAGTACAAACAAATGTGCATTAAGTTGCTAGTTCCAATTGGTCAATAATAAATGCACATTTATGATA